GGCGCGGCCGCGGACTTTTACCACCCGGCCGGGGGGAGCCCCACGGCCGCCTACCAGCCGCCTCCTCCTCCCCCCGCCGCGCCTCCGCCTCCTGCCCCCTGCAGCGGGGTTACCTGTCACGGGGAGCCCGCTAAATTTTACGGATACGATAACTTACAGAGACAGCAGATTTTTACGACACAGCAAGAGGCCGAGCTGGTACAATATCCTGACTGTAAATCGTCCAGTGCTAATATTGGCGAGGAACCAGACCACTTAAATCAGAGCTCGTCTCCTGCTCAAATGTTTCCCTGGATGAGACCACAAGGTTGGACGCAGTAAAAAATTTGCTTCCATCTCACGTCTGAGTTTGAAACTTTCTTTTCCTCCTCCCGCTTCTTTCTCGCTGTCTCTCGCTCCCTGCCTCTGCCTCCCTCTCTCCCTGCCTCTCTCCCCGCGATTCCTATCACCGCGGTGCCTTGCGATAATAAAGCGATACAGTAAGCAAAGAGAAACCTCTGCAGAAGGCGGCTGCCACCCCAAAAGCAGCCTTCAAGTCGCCTCTCGGACGCAGAGGCGCAGCTGACACGGTCGCCCGGCTCCCGCCGCCGCTGTCTGAACGGGAAGGGTGCAGGGCCGGGGGGTGCCGGTTACCAGATAATAAAGTGACCCCGTAAACTCGGTCCCGTAAAGCCCGATGCAGGGGGAGAGCTGAGGCGCTTCGTGCATCTGCTATCGCTATTTTTCCCGCACTCGTGTAAAGCTCTAGACTCCTCCGTGCCCTCTGCTTTCTCCCCCTCGCGTTTCTGCGGGACTTCTCTCGAGGGATTTCTAGAGGGACTCGAGCCCTCGCTCCCTGCCTGCGCCTCGTTTTGAACGACCACACCAACCTCCAAAACCCTGTGTTTTTGTTTTAAACAGCAGCGCCGGGTAGGAGGAGAGGAAGACAAACATACAGCCGATTCCAGACTCTAGAGCTGGAAAAGGAGTTCCTCTTTAACCCCTATCTGACCAGGAAGAGGAGGATTGAGGTGTCCCACGCACTAGGACTCACCGAAAGGCAGGTAAAGATCTGGTTTCAGAACAGGAGGATGAAATGGAAAAAGGAGAACAACAAGGACAAATTCCCCGCTTCCAGACAGGAGGGAAAGGAAGGGGAAGCCAAAAAGGAAGCACATGATCTGGAAGAAGACAGAGCTGAAGGCCAGACGAATTAAAATTTGCCCTAAAAGCCGTTGTGAAAAGCTACAAAAAATAACCAGCTCCATAGCCCAACATCTCGGCCCGTCTCCCACTGTACGTGGTACTGCCGGGGGACGAGTGACCCCGTGTCCCTCCGCTTGACATTTCTCTGCTTCGGGTGCTTCACTTGTTTGTGGTTTTGTTTTGTTTTGTTTTGTTTTGTTTTGTTTTGTTTTGTTTTGTTTTTTTAACCGTATCCGGAACAATCTCTAGATTTAACAGTTCATCTACTTCTTTTGGAAATTTGATACAGAGTTTGTAGCAATACATTCCTAATGATATATATAAATACAATTTTTTTTTGCAGTCTTAAAAGACGGTGATTGCGGGAAACGACATAAACTTCCTAATAATAAATACCAATAAGCAAGACATTTAACAATGCTTTATTAATCAAGACAAGTGCACTTGTACTATTTTAATTCTTGTTCTTATCTTATGTTAAGTAAATTAAATAAATTTAATAAATTTGAAGAAAAGATCTTAGAAATATATTTAACCTTCTGCTATTGATATTTGATTAAAATAAACCAAATTTATTCAGATATAAAATATATCGGCTTCCTGATATACTTTTTGTAATCCACTCCTCCAGTACCCTTCAGAGCCTCTCCGCGTCTGGACTAACTCTCTCCTGCGCCTTTCCCCCGTCCTTCCTCCCACGCTGGACGTTTCTGTTTGGTCTGGGAAGGGCACATCGGGTACAAAACCTGGTTTTCGCTCCCTGCCGCCTGCACACCCTGCCACCCCCACCCA